TGTGGTCCACTTGGTTCTTGTATTTGAGAAGAGTTTGTTTGACATACATAGATGTCCCATTATTTGGGGCATAGGTATCCATGATTGTTATGTCTTGTTGATGTATGAATCCTTTAAGCAGTATGAAATGTCTTTCTTTATCCCTTTTCACTAGCTTTGGTTTGAAGTCCACTTTATCTGATATGAGGATGGAGATTGCTGCTTGTTTACATGGTCCATGTGAGTGGTATGTTTTTTCCCACCCTTCCACCTTCAGTCTGTAGATGTCTTTTCCTGTGAGATAGTCTCTTGAAGGAAACATATGGTTGGGTCTTTTTTCTTGAATTGAATCTGTCAGTCTGTGTCTTTTACTTGATGGAGTTGAGGCCATTCACATTCAGGGTTATTTTTGAAATATGATTTGTATTCCCAGACATTTTGGTTTATTTTTATTTTGTTTTTTTTATCTTGACTTGGTTTGTCCTTTGATTGGCCTTTCCTTTAGTGTAGTTCCTCTCTTTGCTGATTTTCATTGTTGTTTTTCATTTCCTCCTCCTGGAATATTTTGTGGAGAATGCTCTGTATTGCAGGCTTTCTCGATTTAAATTCTTTTAACTTTTGTTTATCATGAAAAGTTTTCATTTTGTCACCAAATCTGAAGCTTAATTTTGCTGGATATAAAATTCTTGGTTGGCATCCATTTTCTTTCAGAATTTGGTTTACGTTGTTCCAGGATCTCCTGGCTTGAGAGTCTGGGTTGAAAAATCTGCTGAGATATGAATTGTTCCCCCCATATGTGATCTGATTTCTTTCATGTCTGCTCTGAGCCACACTAGCAGCAAGATCTTCCTAAAATAATATCTATCTATCTATCTATCTATCTATCTATCTATCTATCTATCTATCTATCTATCTCAATGTTATTATAACATTTATACAAATATGTATATACATGTATATCATATATGTTTAACCATATATATGTACCTATATATGTTTTATATATATGTATACCCACATATATACATATTTGTGTGTGTGTGTGTGTAAGTGTGGTGTGTGTGTGTGTGTGTGTGTGTGTAGCACTTCCCTGTTTTATCATCCTCTTGTCACCTTAGGATAAAATCCAAATTTTACAGCGCAGTGTTCACAAGCTTTCCTGATGTGGTCTCAAGTTGTCACTAGAGCTTTGTGCAGGACAATCACTTTTAAGTATTTTACTTTCAAGTCAATGTACTGTTTACCTTTCCTGCCACTTGGCGAGTTGTTTCTTATTCTTCCTCTCCCACCTGTGGCCTTTTCCTACTTTGTAGCTAGACAGTTTCTAACTGAAGGTTCATGGGTTCCATCTTTCTTTTAAGGACGATTTTTCAGAAGCTCCTCTATGTTTCTGTGGCACCTGACCTTACTATTTATACAGCACTCATTACATTGAAAAAATGTAGAGAATATAGACTTATTTTTCTCTTATTATTGACTAAAACAATTAAGCATTCAAGATATACTTAGTTAATATTAGTTAAGTGGACTAAATGATTTTTCTAATGTATTTTCCTTAAAGAATAGGGGTGTGGTCATGATTATATGTATGCCATAGCCTTAATGGGAAGACAGGAATACACAGGAAATGACTGCCCCAAGCCACTTAGGACAGACTCCTAAGTCACCACATTTGTACCTTAGAGTGGAAACATTTGAGAAGATCATGGCTGGTTACAGATGGATAACTGGGGGCATAAACCAGAAGAGGAAACAAACTGGAGTCTGTTTATTAAGTGGAGTGTAATTTACTCTGACATAATAGCATGTAGGTGATAAGGGAAATAAGAAGGACCAGTAATGCTAGGTGTCTGGCTGTTGAAGTAAGCGTTGCTCTATTTACTTACTTGAAGTCATTTTTAAAAAGGAGAAAAGAAAAATAAACATTAGATCCAAATATTTGATTTGTGTATTTTGAATTTCAGAGACTGTGGGAGATGACTATGTAGGAGGTTTTTTTTGCAAAATTTTTCAGATTAAATTGAAATAATATTAAATTATTGGACTATGTAGAAATGATAATATTAATAATTGTGGTTTGTGTGTCATTTACTGACAAGTAGAGATGACTTTTCGTTTGCCTTGTTTGTTCAGTTTGGTTTATTATATAGGAAAATTTAAAGATACAAGTGTTATGTTAACAGTTTGTGTTGCAATTCTAATAATGTTTTTCATAAGTCAGTGTTATTGGGAAAAATGAAAATTTTGCTAATGGAATGATTGTCTTTCATTTATTTCCTATACATCTTCAAATTGTATGAGAATGTCATAAATAGTGGCAAAATAGTATCAAATTAAACATACTAAAATTTTAAAAAAAAGCATTTGAATTGGACTGCAGGATTTTATATTAAAATGTAAAAGAAAAACATGTTCAAAAGAGCAGCTTATAAGCCAATCTCATTTTTTGAAAGAATATTCTAAGTGTTCTTTCTATGAACAAATATAATCATGTCACCCTTGCAATAGTAGATCCAGTGCAGAATATATATCATTTTTCTGCAAAAAGAAAGACAGAAGTAGGCATAAGTTCATTCTTGATTTTGATGTGGGTATTTTTCTGGGCTTCTTTATTCTGTCACATTGCATAAAATATTCTACTTTGAAAAGTATTTCCTATAGTAAGATCAAGTTTCAGTTAATCTGAAATGCAAATAAAAGCTCTGGGAATGTTAAGTTGAACTGACCATTTTGAGGAACATGTTAATTTTTTGTACTGGGGATTGAACTCAGGGGCACTCAACCAACCAGACACAACCCCAGCCCTATTTTGTATTTTATTTAGAGACAGGGTCTCACTGAGTTGCTCAGCGCCTTGCCTTTACTAAGGTGGGCTTTGAACTTGCAGTCTTCCTGCCTCAGCCTCCTGAGCTGTTGGGATTACAGGTGTGTGCCACTGAGCCCAACTATGTTTACTTTTTAATAATATTTTAGAATATGATTTATTGAATATTTTGGCTAACATTTATGTTACCTTGGATAGCTTCTCTCTAACTTTTTAGATTAATATTTGCCACTAAATTACCCTCATCCTGAAAAAGAACTAGTTTTTACTCCCTCTTTCTTCTTCCCTAAGACAATAAACAAGAAAAATATGATCTTGTTTATTAAATCACTCTGGAAATCATGACATGGTTTCATGGTTTCTTCTCATTATGTATCATGTTTAAAATTCTCTATCCTCAATGGACAGACCTTTTTTCATAGCTAGCAGTATAGGACAAAGCAGTCTTTACATTTTAAGGAAAGATAAAATTAATTTTATCATTCACACACTCCAAAGTCTAGTGATCAGTAAGAGAATACCATATGATTTAGCAAATATCATCAGACTGGATGGGCAAATATTATTTATCTTTAATATAATAAAGTATCATTATATGGCCTTGAAATATTTTAGAATATGATTTATTGAATATTTTGGTTGACATTTGCTTATATTTTAATTTATATTGCTTATATTTTAATTCAGATGTTTAAATTGCGGTCTTCTGGGGCAGATGCTCTTGATGAACTGCCTATGTGCTGTTCCCCTTAACACTGCAGTTCACACTGGCAGAATCTCTATTATTAGATATTCCTGCATTTGGTTTTCTTTGACTACCAAAGACAACTTTGCCAACCAAAGCAGGCGGGAAGTCTCAGGGTATTAACACCACTGGGAGCATGACTCAGCTAATGATTAATGAGGGTTGGTGTATCCCAGTGCCTACTCTGTCATTCTTCAGGTGAGCCGTATCTGTCTACACTGGGTATCAGATTTTCCCCAGCCAGTTTACACTGTAGTTGCCAATAGTGTTGATGGACTTGATGATGCTCTCTCTGTTAATAAGAGGCCTTACAGTACTTGTCTCACTTCTTTTCTCCCTACTGGTGTTTCCTGGGATCATTTCACAAATAAATTGTCTTGTAATTGAGTTGTTACATCAGGATTTGCCTCTGGGGGAAGTTAAATTAAGATCTTTTTAAAGCTCTGATAGAAAAGGAAAAGAAAGGGAACAAATAGATAAACAAGTTTCTAAAGAAGATTGCACCTAAGATGAAAGAAGAGTTTTCAGTGTATGTATGTGTGTGTGTGTGTGTGTGTGTGTGTATATATATAAATCTTGGATACAAACACAGAAATAGGAATAAAATAATATTTGATCTCATTCTATTATTGAAGAAAGTAAAAACTGTAGGTATGGTGTCACTGATACTCATATCATGGTGGAGGCAAGACAAATTTGCGTGTGTGTGTATATATATATATATCTCCTTATTTTTGCTGGAAAAAAACTGGTGTTTTGGCAAGAAGAGGTATTATTCTGTGAATTTTTCTGCTACCATTTGGATTTATGTTGGAGGTACATTTGAAGTGACTGAATTAAGGGAAGACCATTTGTGCTGTTGTATCTACCTGGAAAGTCTTTTTCATTTTGTCTGTTGGGATGAAAATTTAAAAGTCTTAACCCAAACTATCTGTTTTGGTTTTAACATGTTGATCAACAGAAGGATAACTATCTAAATGCCTTTTTTATCATAATTGAAGTGGAATGAAAATAAATATTTGCTTTTTCATATTCTGTATCACTTTGGGAATCATGAGCAGGTTGTAAGCTCGGTTAGTCTAATTAGCTACTATATGAAAGAGATAACTGAGCTACTTACACAGAAAAAGGGAGAGAGGCATTTATTGTCCACCAACTACCACTGTGTTATAACAGTAACATACCTACGAGTTAAAACATTTAACTCACTAGGTATGTGGCAGTACTGCTACTTGTCATCATCTAGCAACCTGCCACTATCTTTTTTAAAAATATGTTTTATTATTATTTCCCTACCATATGGAAACTTTATTGAACTTTCACAAGAAGTATAATTAAAATTTTAGAAGATATAATGTACTCTCTAAATAAAAGAATGTAATTACTGATGAATTCTATTAAGACCAATTTTAATTTTATTTTTATTGTATTTATTTTATCTGATATACATAGGAGAGGAAGTGATAGAAGAAGAATTCTGTTGGCAGCTATATGATTGAAGCTACAAAAGGCCAAGTGTCCATATATTCTTTCAACTATATTTGAGCATATTCAGGTAAGAACAAATCATTACTTATATACTATTTCTAAAAATTATTAAAGGAAAATGATAAAATACATTAAAGCAAAATAAAATTAAGAGCAGAAATAAATGGGGTACCACAGTGCACACCTGTAATCCAAGCAACTCAAGAGGCTAAGGCAGAAGGATTAAAAATTGAAGGCTAACTTGGGCTACTTTGGGAGACTCTGTATCAATAAAAAAATAAGAATGGCTAGGAATGTTGCTCAGAGGTAGAGTACCCTTGAGTTCAATCCTTGGTACAAAAAAACAAACAAACAAACAAACAAAAAAACAAATATTTTTTTTTTTAAAAATAACTTTTGTGGTTGTTCTATGTCATTTGATTTTTGCTTTGCTGGTTTTCTTTTTTAAACCAAATTGAGGTGATAAATTATATTTTTGTATCTTTGTTGATAATATTATGGTTATTTTTATTTTTATTTTTTGTGCTATGTGCAGGTCAAACTCATGATAGAAATTTATTCTACCACTGAACTATAATCTAAGCTTTCTTTATTATTTTTGTAACACACTTACTTTGTTCTGTTCTTTGGGAATGTGAATTTATGTTTCATATTTTACACTGTATCATTTGACATATAAATGATTTTAAAATATTTTAGGGCATGTTTTGGGTGTGGTTGTGCATGCCTGTAATCCCAGTGGCTTGGGAGGCTGAAACAGGAGGATCTTGATTTCAAAGCCAGCCTCAGCAAAGCTAAGCACTAAGCAAAAAGTCAGTGAGACCGTCTTTAAAACACAAAATTTGGCTGGAGATGTGGCTTATTGGTTGGGTGCCCCTGAGTTCAATCCCTGGTTATCTCCCTCCCATCACTGTATATGCATATTTAGGGTATGTGTCTTTATTATTCAGTAAAAACATAGATAAAGTAGAGTTATTAGTATCTTATTAGAGTTATTAAAATAGCATCACTGAGTCAATGACTGTGATGTTTTAAAAGCTTTTTGCTTTGTTGCTGAGTTTACCCACAGAAGGTAGACATGGTTAAAGTTGTCCTTACTCAGTTTTGAAGACTGTTGAATTATTGACTACTATTTTATCATTCAAAAAATTTTATTAACTAAACTTACTTTGGGTTGAAGAAAAACTCAAAACTAGGATTTTAAATTTTGATTGAAAACCGTAGCTTTCTCCTAGTCAGATATATTTAACAAACATATTCCCTTATATAACTAGGCCTAGAAGAAAAGTGGCTATATATATGCATAATCTTATATATGCATAATCTTTCCACATGACTGAAAATGCAGTATTTGTCAATGAAGACAAGTATCCATTTGTCTAACTGATGTTTATTGAAAACAGTGTGACATTAACCTAACCACTGTGATTATTGAGCAATGGGAGTGGTGTTAGTTGAGATTAGGGAAAGAGAAGCACAGAAATAGTTCCTTGTTACTTTGACTTTTCAATAAAACTATGATAAGATAAGAAACATATTTCAGTAATTCCAGTAGAGGCAGAGTGTACCAAGTGCCACAGAAGAAGTAAAAGGAAAGAACAGTTGCTGAAGTGAGGCCTCTTCACAAGTGGGAAGCCAGATTTCCAGAATAAGTAGGACTGGTAGTTAAAAGAAATGGAGAGTCAACTCAGAGCAAAGGACAGGGCCGGGAAGGCATGGGGGATTATCAAGAAATTAGAGAGACAGAGTAGAGAGAGCAAATTAGTGGGGAGTGTGTTCTCTGATTTGGGTTGATATACTTTGGAATTTGTATTTCATCATTAGATAGCAAGGACTAACTTTTTATAGTTTATATATATGTATACATACATATATATATAAAATATATAAACACAATATTATTTTATTTATTTATTTAACATGGTGCTGAAGATTGAACCCAGTGCCTCATGCATGCATGTGAGGCAACCACTCTCACTGAGCTACAATCCCAGCCATATAGTCATTCTTTTATAGAATCCGATGATCTGTGCTATCCCTAAAGAAGCTAATTTAGTGATACGTGTTTTTTAAAAAAAAAAAAAAAAACAAATAGAACTCAGATTAAAGAAAAGTAATTTGTAGACTTTTCCTTCCTAGAAATCACCATTGGCTGAACACTTGCTATTTGCCAGGCACTAAACCATGAACTATAGAAAGAAAATAATGAAGAAGACATAATCCCCACCCCGGGAGGTTGTAGTGTATTGAATGAAGTATACATGACGAACAAATGAATATAGTTCAACATGACACTTTAAGGGTAGATTCAGATTCAAGGAATGGCTAGCGGTCACTTGAGTATTTAACTTCCCAGTGGAGCTGCATTGTTTTATAACCAAATCTGGGAAGTGTCATCCCATCTGTAGTGAGTTGCTTGTTGGTTTCCAAACAGATTCTCAAGTCCTAACTTGTGAATGTAAAATTATTAGACAGATAGGGTATATATAATTAAGGATCTTTGTATGTGATCATCTTGAATTAATCAGTAGAACCCTGACTCCAGTGACACAAGTCCTTACCCAATTCAATCTAATGTATGAAATATGATATGTCAAGAGCTTTGTAATGTTGTGAACAACCAATAAAAAAAAAAAGAAAAAAAAAGATATTTTTATTTGAGCTGGGGTGTAACTCAGGGGTAGAGCTCTTGCCTATTATATACAAGGTCCTAGGCTCTATCCCAGCACCACACAAAAAATAAAAGAATGATATTTGATTTCCTTTTTTAAGTTGAATAGCCTAGTAATGATTCCATCTACAGAATATTATTTTTAGATGACTAAACCAAAGCCAAAGAGTATTTTAAATGAAAATTAATAATAATATCATATCTTTTTCCCAATGGAACTGTTATTTTTTTAAAGTATTAATATAGACTACTTCAGATCTTATTCTTTCCTACCAGCATTCTTGGAAAGGAGTAAGAATGCAAGTAAAATAATGAAATACTATTAGAAAAGTCAAAATGTAACTAATATAAAAAATAAGTAAATAATCTATATACCAAATCATTCCAACAAAATGGCTGTAGAACTTTTGTTTTTTTCTGTATTTTTCAGGATAATCTACTTGTACTCAACTCCCCAAAAGATAAAGGGAAATTTTAGTTATAACCCTATGTGACCTTTATCAAACTTGTATTAAAAATTTCTTCACGTGAAAAATATAAATAACTATGATAGCATCTAAGTTCTTACCATATGCCAATCATTTACCCTAAGGATCTGCTATCTAGACATTAAAATATTTTATTGAAAAGGTAAAAAAAAAAAAAGATAAAGAGAGGGGGAAGTACTGGTGAAGGAAATCTTCCATATTATGTTATGTCCATGTACAAATATACCACTCCTGCTTATATATTTAATTATAATTTACTAATTAAAATATCAATAACAACAACAGAAAGGAGTTTAGCAGAGTAGAACAAGTAGATCAGGTGAACAGAAAAGGATAGTACTGGGGAATGAGATTGATCAATTATAATTTGTGCATATACAAATATGGCATAGTGAATCCTATTATTTCTAATTATAATGTACCAATAAAATAATGAAAGATATAAAAAAAAGAAGGCCATATGAAGACACTCAGGGACTCCAGGTGTCTCCTATTACCTGTTGATGTAGCCACATGCTGTGGAGAAGCCACCAGAAGCTGGAAGACAAAGGAGACATAACCTCACCTTTAGTTTACTGAGGAAGTGTAGCTTTTTCAATACCTTGATTCAGACTTCTGGCTTCCAGAATGACGACAGAATATATTTCTATTCTTTTAAGGCAGCCAGTGTATGGGTGGTAATTTGTTTTGGCAGCCCCGGGAAACTAATATACCGCTGTTTCTGTAGTCTCCTATTATTTAGAAGTAAGTTACTGAGTCTAGATTACATTTCAAGAGCACAGGATCACAAAGGGGCAAGAAAATCAGCAGGCAGAGATTGCTGGAAATCATCTTAGAAGCAACCTGCTCCGTTTGACTTCGCTTCCGGCTATCTCCATTTGTATGCTGTGTCTACACGTGGAACAAACTCAGTAGATCAGAGGTTAGAATCATTATCTCACATTCTCAAAATCATGATCTTTCATTTGTATTTACTGCCTCTATGATCAGAATTACTATTCACCTGAATAATCAAATTGGAAAATTTAGAGTCAAGTAAAATTTCTTCTCATTTAAAACGTCTATCCTTACATTGATTAGCTATTCTTTTTCATTCTATTCTCTGCATTTTTATCATTTACAACTCCTTATTTTTAATGTCTTACCTACTGTTTTCAGGCTTTTATGATAGCTTCCAAAAGTAGTTTAATAATCTTTAAATGTTCAAGTCTTTCTAACCCTTTCCTCTTCAAATCTTTCCTGCCAAGTGGATATGAAACCCACATGGGATAAGGTCATTCCTTTTACTTAACATTTTTCTTTGGGTGTCTCCCTTCTTTATAAGCCAGATGACAGTTACTTAGCAGGAAATAGTCCCTGGTGATCTGACTTTTGACTTCCTGATTTCAATTTTATATTTAATCATTACTTCACATACATCTATAGAATTGTATAAAATTGCAAAACATCTTATGTTCTCCATTTTTTGGTTATACAATCTCTTTTTCTACCGAGTAGGTGTTTTTTAAGATTCAAAATACCTAGCAGGATGATTAATACTAATGGTTAGCAAAAAATAGATTTTTATCCATTTAAAACTAATGGAAAAGATGAAAGAGTAGGAAACAGAAAACTCTTAAAACTCAACAAAATTGCTAAATGTTTATACTAGGCTAAACTGGAAATAAAGAAAAGAGAAAAGGATTTATGGCTGATTATGGACAAGGACTGTGAAATTTAAGGATAGGGTTAAAGGAAATATAAGTTCAATGTAAATGTGTAGGAGAAGTAGAAAGTAAAAAAAAAAAGTTTACAAAAAGAGAAAATTTTGATCTTAGATTATAAATATAGTTTAATCAGATGAAGACACATCAAGGGAACAAAACTTCAGACCAATATCCATAAGGAACATAGATGCAAAAATTTTTAATAGAATACTGACAGAAATCACATACAAAAACACATTAAAAAGATAGTGCACCATTATAAATTGAGGTTTGTCCCAGGGATGCAGGATTGGTTCAACAAATGGAAATCAATAAATGTAATTTTTCATATCAATAGACTTAAAGATAAGAATCACATGATTATCTTAATAGAAACAGAAAAAGTATTTGACAAAATATAGCATCCATTCATGTTCTAAATACAAGAAAAACCAGGGATAGCAGGAACATACCTCAACATTGTAAAAGCTATATTTATTAAATCCATTCTAATTGGAAAAAGAATTCTCTCTAAAAACTGGAACAAGACAGGAATGCTTTCACCACTTTTATTAAATCTAGTCTTTAAAACTGTGACATAGCAATTAGGCAAAAGAAGAAAGTAAATGAATATGAATAGGAAAAGAAGAGCTCAAACTGTCCCTATTTGCTGATAACACGATTCTTTATTTAGAAGACGCAAAAAACTCCACTAGAAAGCTTCTAGAACTCAAACAAAGTCAGCAAATTAGCAGGATATAAAATTAATACCCATAAATCAATTGCATTCCTATACATCAATGATGAATCAGCTGAAAGATAAATTAGGAAAACTACCCCATTCACAATAGCTTCAAAAATAAATAAATAAACAAACAAACAAATAAACAAATAAATAAAAACACTTGGGAATCAATCTAACAAAAGAGGTGAAAAACCTTTACGATGAAAACTACAGAACATTAGAGAAAGAAATTGAAGATCTTAGAAGATGGAAAGAGCTCCCATGTTCTTGGATAGGCAGAATTAATATTGTCAAAATGGCCATACTACCAAAAGCTCTATACAGTTTTAATGCCACTCCTATTAGAATTCCAATGATGTTTTTCACAGAAATAGTAAAAGCAGTCATGAAATTCATTTGTAAAAATAAGAGACCCAGAAGAGCCAAAGCAATCCTTAGTGAGAAAAATGATACTGTTACGCATCACAATACCAGACATTAAGTCGTACTACAGAGCTATAGTATTAAAAACAGCATGATATTGGCACCAAAACAGACATGAAGACCAATGGACCAGAATAGAAGACACTTGAGACAAACCTACATAAATACAGTTAGCTAATGTTAGACAAAGGTACCATAAACATACATTGTAAAAAAGATAGCCTCCTCAACAAATGGTGCCTGGAAAACTGGAAATCCATATGTAGCAGAATGAAATTTAACTGCTGTGTCTCACTCTGCACAAAACTCAACTCAAAGTGGATCAAAAATCTAGGAATTAGACCAGAAACCCTACACCTCCTAGAAGGAAATGTTGTCCTAACACTCCATCATGTTGGCTTAGGAACCGACTTCCTCAACAAGACTCTTAAAGTGCAAGAAGTAAAATCAAGAATCAACAAATTGGATTGTATCAAACTGAAAAGCTTTTTCACAGAAAAGGAAACAACCAAGAACATGAAGAGGGAACCTACAGAATGGGGGAAAATCTTTGCCTTCTGCAACTCAGAGCATTAACCCGGTATATATAAAGAACTAAAAAAAAATTATACCAGTAAAACATATAACTCAATTAATAAATGGGCAAAAGAACTAAACAGGCACTCACAGAAGAAATATAAATAATCAAAAAATACATGAAAAAAATGTTCGACATCTCTAGCAATTGAAGAAATGCACTCTGACTGGAGTGAAATGAAACTGAGGTTTCATTTCACTCCAGTCAGAATGGCAGCAATCAAGAATACAAGTAATAATAAATGTTGGTTAGGATGTGGGGAGAGAAGGTACATGTAGACATTGCTAATGGGACTGCAAATTAGTGTAACCACTCTGGAAAGCAGTATGAAGATTCTTCAAAATACTTTGAATGGAACCACCATTTGATCTGCTTATATCACTCCTGGATATATATCCAAGGAAGTTAAAATCAGTATACTACAAGGGCACAGTCACATAAATGTTTAGAGCATTTCTATTCCTAGTAGCTAAGCCATGGAACCAAACTAGGTACCTGACAACAGATGAATGGGTAAAGAAAATGTGATATATATATACATAGTGAGGTATTACTCAGACATGAAAAAAATGACTTTATGATATTTAGTGGTAAATGGATAAAATTGGAGACAAATCATGCTAAGTGAAATAAGACAGTCTTCAAAATACAAATTTCAAATGTTTTCTCTGATATGTGGATTCTAACATACAACAGGTGGGGGGAATATTAGACAAAGGGGAATAAAGGGAAGGAAGGTGAGATAGGACTAGGAAAGACAGTGGGATGAATTACTGCATAAAGGCTGACAAATCTGAAAAACAATATAATGTCCCTGATTTTTAGAAATTCAAGAAAATAGGAATTAATGGATATCTTTTTTTTTTTTTTTTTGGTACCAGAAATTGAACTCAGGGGCATTCTACCACTGAGCTACATCCCCAGCCCTATTTTGTATTTTATTTAGAGACAGGGTCTCACTGAGTGGCTTAGTGCCTCAGCGGCTGGCTTTGTACTCAAAATCCTCCTGTCTTAACCTTCCAAGCAGCTAGGATTACAGGCCTGTACCACCATGCCTGGCTGGATATCTTTTTTAATAGTACTAAATGTATATATCGATATCATAAAGACAGCATTTTACTCAATGGAGGAAATGCTAGTAGCATTATAAATAAGATCAGAAACAAGAGAACAAAGTTGATTGTCCTCACTTTCATTTAACATCACTGAAGGTACTACCCAATGAAATCTCATGCTAGAAATCAACTTCAGACTTAAGAAATGGAAAGGGGAATAAAGGGAAGGGAGGGGAGATAGGAATAGGAGAGACAGTGGAATGAATCTAACAAGACTTTCCTTGTATATATATGGATACAACACAGTGAATCTCCACATCATGTATAAGACTGGGATCCCAATTACAGTAACACATACTTCATGTTTGCATAAATATGTCAAAAATATACTCTACTGTCATATATAACTAAAAAGAACAAATTTAAAAGTTTAAATTCAAATGTATTTATCATGCTGGTTTTAAGATTTTGCAGTCTTAAAAGTTATGTTCTTATGGACATTGTAGTAGATTAGGTGGAGAGTGTAAAGAAGAGGATAGTCTTTCAAAATAGTGAGAGGTAAAATAAATCAAAGACAAAAATGGGGTGGAATGTAAGGAAAGTGGCAAAAGGATCTGGATATGTAAATCTCTTGTTTATTTTGATGCAATAGGTAAGGCTAACAGTATGATACTTGAAGAGACTCTCTGGGCAAATCCCGCAGTGGAAGACTGATTCATACCATACTCAGATGATATTTTATATGTTTAGATAAAAAGGCAAAGAACTGTTAAGCCACTGAAGAAATTAAAGAAAATCTTTTTATTTACCCTTTGAAGTTAACATTTATTATTTCTATGTGTGTAAAGTCTATTCCTCTTTTTATCTTGATGTGCAAATTAGTCTTTGCCTATACAGTGTTAACATTGGTTTTCATTTAGTAAAGAGTTTCGAAGAAAAAAATGTTTTGGATACTTAAATAATATGTAATTGCCAAGAATGGTTCCTTCATATGTTAATTGTCATCTTAATGAAATAATGAGGTCTATCAAGTGGTAGCTCATCACATATTGGTCTCTATATTGCAAAGTGCTAATTAGTTTACTGTAAAAGAATTATTTGTGCAAAGGCAGTACCATTCATTATACCAGAACCTTGACTTATTAGTGGTAACTGTATTTATAAAATAGTTTATTTTTAGCTCATGATTTTAACTGAGAATATTTAGTTCAGTAAATTTTTAAAAAATTAACAAATAACTTTTATACTTAAATTTGCATTTATAAAGAGTTAGATGAAGGAGAAGAGTAGGGTTTGCATTATTATGTGCAATACATGAAGAAATGAAAGTAGCTTCTCAGGAAATAAAGACAAATCATGAACTTCATATTGCATCGTTCATCATTTACGTGGCCTGACAGTCTAAACTAGGAACTTTTTGATCAGGTAACCATCTAT